TCCGGGCCGCCGCGCTCTCTGGGCCCCGAGCCACCCGGCTCCTTGCCCCTGCGCGCCGCGCCCCCTCAGCACTGGCCAGCTCCCTCCCCCGACGTCACGCGCCGCTGCCACGCACGGCCCCGCGGGGAACGCTGGGTATTGGAGTCCGCCCCGCGAGGCCGTCCACGCGGGACTCCACCAACTGAAGGGATGCGAAGAAGGATAAGCGACCCTGAAGAAAGGAAATCCAAGGCCCCTCAAGATCATGAACCCTGATAAAAACTCCTGGGAAAAATATAATAAAGGTTACTTTAGAGCTTCTCTTTATTGTGGTTATCCGTGGTCAACCTTTCCTACGACTCCTCCTATCCCCCCTCCTTAACAATGAGTCTTTCCTAGGAGGCGGGTCGCGAAGGAGGCGGGTGAGCACGTGCAACGAAGCCCAGCCTAGTGGGCGGGGCTAGGGTGGGGCGGAGTTTGGGAATATTCACCGGGGCCTTCCTCCGCGGCTTCGGGACAAATTGGACCCGAGATTAAAGGACCGGAGTTTAACTCGAGGTGACTGCGTTCGTATGCAAATAGAATCTATAAAACTCTGCTTTCCGGGTTATTCTTTAAAGCCTTTTCCTCCGGGTGGGCGGGAAAGACTAAAGTTTCCTCCTCTTTCATTTTTCCGCCTGCGGGTAGAATAGAATGGCAAACTGAGCTCGAGGCCATTGATGCCATTAAAGAAACTCTCAAGAGTCTTTAACTCCTGGTTTCTTGAAGTTCTCGGTTTGAGAGGCTCCTCACCCATCCTTCTTCTCCTTAATTTCTCACTTTCCCTATCTGTAAAAGGGGTTGGAATAGAGATGGGGTCCAATTGGAAGATCCTCAAGCCTCTTCCCCCGCTCCCGCCTCAGTTTCCTGGATTTTGCAGTCTCTGTGGCTCTCGATTGAGTCCACCTCCTGCGGCCGCGAGGTGGCGCGCGGCTACCAGCCTCTGGGCCTGCCCCGGCATCCGCCTTCGGCCACACTCTCACGGAAGGACTCATTGCGGCTGTCGCCCAAGGTCTAAGTCCTACCTGGCCAGCTTGAAGACAAAGAACACTGATGCGCTGCACGCCTGTGCTCTGCCGGGTTATGCCGTGGCTTTCTTACTGGCTGCCCATTTCCCGCTCTCTCCCCACCCTGCCCCACCAAGCCGTTGGCTCGACTGTCATTCCTTAATTTTTTAATAGTCTTCCTCTGGCATTTGCATCCCTGTCTAGTCTGACCCCTGCCCACATTTCTCATCACACCCCTTCTGTCACCTGCTACGCAGGATGTTTTGCAACACTTTTCCGCACTTGCCGGTTTCTTACCAACATTAGTTAACCTGTATTGCTTCCTTAGTCTGTGCTGGCCGCTGTTCTGAGAGATTTACATTAACGCTATGTTGTCTAAACCTCACACCCACTCTGAGGTAGCTCCAATATTGTCCCTATCATACATACACTGAGGAAGTCACCCAGCAGAGATGGGGATTCCAAACCCAGTGGGTCAGACACCAGAACGTAACTCCTTAGTTCCTTGGAGCTGAAATGCTGCTTGCTTCACCCCACTCCCAAACCTTTATTCATTTTTCAAAGTCCTGTCGAAATATCTCCTCAGGCACCAGGGGATATCTAGATCCCTTCTGTATTCCCTTATGGCTCTGTCTCTGTAGCTCTGTTGAGCTCACTGTGGACTGTGAGAAATGATCTCTCTGATTGCTTCCCCACTACCATTCCCCAGCCCCAGAGGGGGAGGAGAGCCCATAGTGCGTGTGTTGGATGGGGACAGGGAACAGAGGAGATGGGCCCTCTGAGCCATACCCTCTACTCTGGGTTCTAAAATGTGTTAGGACCATGTAGCCTTCCAGGGCCAGAACTTCCCTTTCTATCATAGGCTTCTGTAGATAGTGAGTGCCCCTTCCTTGGAGTTCCACTTAGGGGCTAAATGTCACTGCAGAAACTTCTTGCAGTCCTGGGGTTTCATTGGTGCACAAAGATTCTAAACTGGCTCTCAAAGGTGGGCAAAAGAGTTCAGCCAGACACTCTGGTTCAGCCCTTGGAAACAACTCTTCCTCCTTCAGACCAGCTCTGTCGTCTCTTCCTCCGAAAAGCCTTCCTGGATCTCCCTGACTAGTCAAACCCCTTTCTTCTCATCATTAGAACCCCAATACCCCTGAGCTTCAAAGTCCTGGTTCTAAGAGGTGAGAGATTATAATACTAGCTGCCTTAGAGGATTTTTACAAGAATTAAATAAAATGATACATGCAAAGCAATTAAGGGGCCTAGTAAATGGGACCTGTTACTAATGTAACCAACATAAAGAGTGGTCCTAATCCCCAGATACTGCTCTTCTGAAAATACTTCTTGGGAAGAATCAACTATCATAAAATTAAGAAAGGTGAGGGAAATGATGGTGAACTGAGCCCCCAGCCACTTTCCTAAGTGTATAGATCCTGTGAGGGACGCACCTACTGTGTGTCCAGCACCTACTACAGAGAGCTTTTTCCCACCAGCGTCCCCCAGCAATCCTGAAAAGTCAATACTTTCCCCCAAATTTACAAATGAGGAAACAGACAAAACAGACAGATGAAAAAGACTCCCAACTACAGCAAGATTCATGACGGAAGAGCTAGAAAGGAAAATAAGAATAAGGAGGGACCTGTGGGGAGTGGTCCTGTGGCCAGCGGCAGACAGACAAACAAGATGAAACAAGGATACGGCTAAGAGCAGGACAGGTTTGAGCCCCACCGTGGGGGCCTTGCCCTGTGGTGGGGGAGACAGACTCAAATAATCACACAAACTCACAACTGCACATAAGTGCTACAACAGAACCCCCTTAGAAGTTCCTGGTGCTATGGGAGTGTTTCACAGGGCTCATTTGGGTCCAGGGCTCATCAGGGGAGGCTTTTGGGGTTAAGGAGCATTGAAATAAGATAGGAAAGATGAGTAGGACTGAGTCAGACTGGGCAGAGAGAGAGAGTTTTGGCTGGAAAGAACAGCATGTAAACAGGTCCTAAGGCTGAGTTGGAACTGAGAAAATCCATTGTGACGAGCCCACTGAGAGAGAGGGGCAGGAGAGAAGGGTAGAAAGGAGGAAACCATGAGACCATGGAGTCATATGGGGAAACAGCCAGCAGAGGGCAGAGTTCTCTGGTGACAGCAGCCTTGTTCTTCCAGGACCTCCTAGCCAGAGTCAGAACCAGGCAGCTTGGGGAGAAAGGGCTGGGAAAGGGAAACCCCTGCCAGGTTATTTATTTTAAGTACATCGTGTCTATTATCTGAATAGATATGACTCACATTACAAAATCCCTAGGATGAAAAAAAAAATGTTCATTGAAAGGAAGCCTTTCTCCTTACTCTGATTCTCAAAAGCTGGTTCCCCTTCTTAGCGATAACTTCCATATCGATTTATTGCATCCATTCTCAGATAGTCTGTGCACATAAAAACACACCATATATATTTTTCACACTAATCTAGCCTTGGTTTTGACATCTCCCCAGGGGACCTCTAGTTAATGAAAGAAGCTAATTTGTACTGAACACCTACTGCACATGATTCTTTAATTCAGCTGAGTTATAGAGCATCAGACCTTGTGCTAGGCCAGTGGTTGGAAAACCTTAAAACCCCTGAGGGACTTGTTAAAATACAGATTGCAGGGCCTCACCCCTAGAGTTTCCCCATCATTAGGTCTGGGGTGAGGTCTGAGAATTTGCATTTCTAACAAGTTCCCAGGTGATGCTCAGGCTGCTGTTCCCACGACCACACTCTGAGGCCACTGAGCTAGCTGCTCACAGACAAAGGATGTGCACTTGGTGGCTTTCTTTCTCTCCCACAAGAGAAGACACCAAAGAAGCAAAGAAACACCAAGTAGAAAGATAGTTTCACAGAGTGATAAGTTCTATGAAGGAAATGAAGAGGGAGGAGTGTGTGTGAGGGAGAAGTGCTTGAGAGAAGAAGGGTAGAACTGGAGGTAGCAACATTCGAGGCACAAATAAATGTTACTTTTTGAGCACTCGAAGTTTACAAGGTCAGGTAAATAGACACAAGTGGATACCCTATGTTGGGCTAGGGAGGATCACCTACAGAGGGTTCGAGAAGGAGGCGTGATCAAGAGCTGTGGATCCTGGGAGGATAGGGAGATACCGCGCAGGGTTCGGTTACAGGAGGTCCCGGGGACCCCAACAAGGCATTTCCACGGTGAGCCCGAAGACCCCTGGAGCGAGGAGATGGGCAGGGACCCCGAGCAGTGGCGACTACAGACTGCTCCTTGGGAAAGCTTTGCTGCCTAGGAATTAGAGATGAGGCGCTCCGTCTCAGAGGATGAGGAAGCGGAAGGGTGTTTAAAGGGTAGGAGTTACCGGAGTTCAGTTGGTGGTTGACGGGAGGGATCTTGGAGGGAGGAAGAAATGGAACATGAAGGAGAGAGCGGCCTGAGCCGTGAGAAAGTTAAAGCTGGTGGTGTCGGGGTGTTTGGAGCGCTCAGATGCTCGCTTGCCCTGGAAACTTCACGTGTCTGACTTTACATCACTCCAAAAGGAAAGCATTATTTTCCCCATTTTATAGGCTGGAAACTGAGGCTCAAAGAGGTGAAGAGACACGCCCAAGGTCCCGCATCTCAGAAGTGCGGGGAATCCGCGCGGCTCTTACTGCCCCCGCTGCTCCTGCGGGCTCCGAATAAGACCCTTTTTTGTGTCCTTGCAAGGATGCCCTTTGGATAGCAGCCCAGTGGCAAAGAGGCCCCACAGCGAGCGGGCCAGGCGGGGCGGGGTGCCCCCTTCCACCCTAGCTCCGCCCCCCCAGAGGCGCGGGAGGGGGCATGGGGCGGGGAG